ATTTGGTTCAGCTTTTTGCCGTCACTCCTTGATGTCATTGGACATTCCACTATTTGGCTAATACAAGTCAGCAGGATGTATCTAATTATGTGTTATTGTTCTGGTCTGCCCCTGCGTGGGCGTATCTTGAGCTTGTTGTATTCTTAAAAGAAAACTTTCTTAATAAAAATATTGAAACAGAAAAGAAAAGGGATAATTGAAAACATTAGTCCCATGCCAAAAGTTTCAGCCTTTTCCTTGAAGCCAAAGTCCTTCTTTCGTAAAGGAAAAAGTAAGCAATGCACCTACATAAAAAAATTGCAAGCATTTATTTTTCTGCATTTAGGCCTGTAGAGCATTGCACCCACATTTGGTATATTGAGGCTGCAAGGCACATGCTCCTGAAGATTCCTCCCCAGCTCCAAGCCTGCACACAGGTACACACCTTCTGTTATACAGTTGGAGCAGTTGGAGGAAATAATGAATTTATGACAAGTGCGGTGACATCACCACACGTATGCTTGATTGAGATGCATGACATCACCACACTTGTGCTCCATGGAAATCTATGAGTCCTTTTGCCCTGGGGTAAGATGAGGCTTGTAGTCTTCCATTCACAAATTTGTGTAGAATGGATCTTTGAATGGATGACTTGCATGTGTGTCATACAGAAACTGTAGGAAGAAGAACTCCATGATTTAGGTAAGTGGATGGATGGGGGTGGGGAATTGCACTTTGGGGTGGTGGGATGGTGAATGTTACCATGTTTTATGTTACACCCTAAATATGAAAGAAAAGATAAAGTATGCAAAGGAGTATGCTTAAACCTGTACTCTAGGAGGACCTCTACACCCAAACCTTAGGAGGACCTCTAAACATGAACTCTAGGATGACCTCTAAACCTGAACTTTAGGAGGACCTCTAAATATGAACCCTAGGAGGATCTCTATAACTCTAGGAGCATTAAAATATTTAAAATTCATTTTCATCATAGTAACTCTTTGCTCTGTGGAACTCACTGCTGCAAAATAAGTCAACTAAAAGCTCAAGTCTTCCAGTCAAGATCCAAGGTAGTTCCCTTTTGGGAACCACCATTTTGCCCCTTGCACAACATAGAGAATGCAAAGCCAGGCTGTCAGCCACACAAACATTTCAGCGCTCTCTGTGACAGCAATGTGTCACTGCTGTTTGCATATGTCAGAAGTCAGGTGAGTAGTTAGTAATAGAAATGAGGACTTTGCTGTCAACAATTTAAGAAAAGTTGAGATTTCCATAACAGGGATGTCTATGTTTAATCTGCTTAACAATAGTGAGGATTCTGCATGGAATGGGAAAAAATATGAAGGGAGCAATGAGTTTATATGCTTGGGTAAACTAGATTAGCCACTAGAAGAAGCTCTCAGTGGTTTGGTGAAATTACTTTGTTTTTTTAACAACCACTGAGATAAGGTATAAGCCACACAAGTGGAGAGTTTATTTTGTATCGGACACTTCAGAGACTTGTAAACCTGCTTTGTGAGATAAGGCAGTAAAGCACAATCAATGTACAGTAGAGCAACACTGGAAGTAGAGTCTGAGTATGTAATGAATATAGTTATAAATAATACATAGAAACCAGATTTTTAGAACATTATCACAAAGTGACAAAATTATTTATATTATTATTATTATACAATATTTATAAAGCGCCAATGGTTCGCTCAGCGCTGTACATTACAAAGGGGGACAGAACATGTGACAGAACAATACCAATACAATGCAAAACATGAGGGACCTTGATCTGCTATATAGGTTCATGTAAAAAAAATCCATGCATTCTTTTTAACCTGAGTGATATAGTCTGTTACAGCTAGGTTTTGTAGACTTTTCACACTTTTTATCAGGAATGTAGCCTCTGGTTACATGATACTGTTTGCAGCAATGTTTTCTAGGAGATAGTAAATGCAGCATTGCCATGCTTGACTGGAGTGTGCCTTTAAAAACATACAGTACTATGTACACAGAGCAGTGTGGTGAGACCTCTGTTTTGCTGGTTCATTCCGAAGCTCCTTATCAGACGCCATCATTGAATAATATGCAGTCCAAGAGAGGAGGGAATATACTACTCAATGGAAAGGAAGATTATTAGGCAGCAGAGCGGGAATACAGTGCTGTTTTAACCATGTGAAAATTTACTAACGCTTTCAGGGACTGTGAATTCTGTCCTCAGGGAGCAGTTTCTCTTTTTATTACCTGCACAATTTATGCTCTGTGAGGCATTCCACACTCCATCTTGAAATTTCCAGCTCCAGCAAATTGTGTTTCCCGTTAAGCACAAGTCAGTTGTATATGATTTCAGACTTACCTTGCATGGAAAAATATCCCTGCCTTGATCTAAGTGTCACCTTTGTTTTCTTATTGAAAGTTCTGTGCATTTTGAAGAGATATTATTATTTTGAAACATGATTTAGCACATTAATGCCCATCAGGCTGAAGGCTTTTTACCTTCAAGTTAAAAAACCTTCAGTGTGCAGCAGCCCCCCTCAGCCCCCCCCCCCCATGCTTACCTGTGCCAGAACTCAATCTAGTGATGTGCCAAGGCACTCCTGTGTCTCTCTCTCACCATTGGTTGAGACAGTGGCTCCTGTTGCTGTCAAATACAGCCAGTGAGGAGGGAATGGGGGACTGGGTTGAGCTGTGCTTTGTGTGTTCCATAGAGGCTTCAAGGCTTCACTGCCCGTTTCCCTTAGTCAAGATGGTGGTGCCAGCACCTGTTAGCCAGTTGAAGAAACAGCTCGGGTGAGGACACCTGGATGCCTGGTCAGTAAGTGCCCTAATATTAACAGTCAGCAGCTACAGCATTTTTTTTTTTTTTTGGGGGGGGGACACTCCTCTTTAAGTATAATGCATTATATGCATAGTCCTGCTTTGTTTGTGAAGGCAACAAGCCCCCCCCCCCCCACAACTAAGAGCTCCAGAGAGAAGAGGAGTTCACAGGTTCCTGTCAGCAGTATTACAACTTATTCTTTTACAGTTCACTGATATCAGATATCAGACCTTAGTACATGTAGTTACAGATTCAGAGCATAGCTTAACCAGGTCCCGACCGCACTATATCCAAAAGACAGCTACAGTGCGGTCAGCTAGTTCTGGAAGGGCGTCCATGGACATCCTCCCTGAACCCCCCCCCCATGCTCCCTGGGGAGCACACTGGTCACGATTTGTGGATTGAGGTAATAGGCCAGTCAGAGTGACCTTTTACATGTGATCAGCTGTGTTCAGTCACAGCTGATCACAATGTAAACAGGAAATGCAAGTTATTAGCCGACCTCTCCATACGCTAACAGCGCGTGAGGAAAGGAGAGCCAGTAAGTGGCATTCCTCAGAAGGGACATCTACACTGATCATCAGGGCACTGATCATCAGTGCTCTGATGATCAGTGTAGCCCCATCAGTGTCCATCAGTGCTGGCTAATAGTGCCCATCAGTGCTTGCTGTTAGTGTCCATCAGTGCTGGCTATCAGTGACGGCTATTAATACACATCAGTGCTGGCTATCAGTGCCTCCTCAATGTTGGTTATCAGTACCTATCAGTGCTGGCTATCAGTGCCCATCGTTGCTGGCTGTCAGTACCCATCAGTGCTGGCTATCAGTACCTCCTCAGTGCTGGCTGACAGTGCCCATCAGTGCTGGCTATCAGTACCCATCTGTGATGCTTATGAGTGCCCCCATCAGTGCTGCTTATCAGTGCCCATCAGTACCGCCTATCAGTGCTCATCAGTGCCACATATCGGTGCAGCCTTATCAGTGCCTCCTCATCAGTGCCCATCAGTGCAGTCTCTTCAGTGAAGTCTATCAGTGCCCATCAGTGCAGCCTATAAGTACCCATCAGTGCAGCCTCATTACTGCAGATCAGTGAAGGAGAAAAATCACTTATTTAGAGAACTTTATAACAGAAACTAAGAAAAAACTTATTTTTTCAAAATGTTTGATCTTTTTTGTTTGCTTATCAAAAAATAAAAACCCAGTTGTGATTAAATACCTCCAAAAGAAAGCTCTATTTGTCTCAAAATAAAAATATATGACCGCGTAATTGTCATTCAAAGTGCAACAGCTTTGAAAGCTGAAAATTGGCCTGGGCAGGATGAGGGTAAAAGTGCCCTGTATGGAAGTGGTTAAACCACTTTGCATCTTACACCTGTTCACCCCCTATAGACCAGAGCAAATTTTGCATTTCTGCTATAAGTAATAATTTTGTAATTACTGAAGATAACAAGATAATGCATAAATTGTTTTTTAAGGACAAACAAGGTTTTCTTTTCATGATATTGTCCTGCAATGATTTTTTGTTTTCAATCAAACAAATAAAACACAACAAAACTAAACAAAACACACTTTTTCATTATTTTGAGCAGTGTTGAAGTCACTGCACATAAAATGTGAACATTTTAGCCCTGGTTCACACTAGATCAACTTTTAAAACAAAGTTGAATGGCAGTGCAACTTGGGATGCGACTTGATGGAGATCTTTGCGACTTCATGCACAGATGCCTATGTAAGTTGCACCCCAAATCAGCAAAAGTTTATTCAGGAACTACCGTACTTTTGTCAAATCACATGACAATTTGCAGCAGTGTGAACCAGGGCTTATTCTGTAATTTGTTCTGTTTGAAATTACACTAGAATTATGTTTCTGATACAAAGCATTACAAAATTATTTGCAAATGAAATAGTTATATTTTTTTTTAATTTTGCATTTTTGTAAATGGGAAATGTGTAAATACAATATATGTTAAATATAAACAAACAAAACAAAAAAAAAAGTTTAAAAATTAATAAAATAAAAAAAAACACAAAAATCAGCAGAAAATAATAGTTGAAGAGAGAAAGAGACTAAGGAGTTAATAGGACTGACTAGAGTAAACTAAGGGTTAATAAGCGGTTAAACATAGGAACATTTTATTTAAGAAAAACTTTTTTCCTTGTCAGATTTCTTTAAAGTGGATCTCCATGCAAAAGGGGAAGTTCTGCTTTAAGCTTTTGTCCCCCGCTCCCCATTAAGAATTGGCACCTTTGAGGAGAGGGGGTACCCGAATTTGACAGGTACCCGCTCCCACTTCCGCTGCGATTGCCTAAGTGATCGGAAACTAAAGTCGCCTGCCCTCCCCGTAGTCTTCTGGGACACGTGACAGGTCCCAGAAGACAATGGGGCCATTCACAAAGCGCAGCACTTCTCGCACATGCGCAGTGGACACCCGGCTGTGAAGTCGCAAGCTGTCACAGCCGGGTGCCCACACTGAAGATGCCAGCGTCAAGGAGAGAAGATGGCTGGTGAAACCAGTGGTGGTGAGGACACCGCTGGACCTAGGGACAAGTAAGTGTCTGTATTTTAAAAGTCAGCAGCTACAGTATTCATAGCTGCTGACTTTTTTTTTTCAGGTGGAACTCCGCTTTAACTGACATAATTTGCAGTTCTAAGTTCATCTGTTTGATCTGAAGATGAATGAACAGAATGATACAAAAGTAACAATATGTTACTTTGTATCTCTGTATAATCATGGTCTGGAGCAGTGTTGTTTATAAACACTGATTTAGACTGCTATTTTGACAGCTACAACTGCCCCCACTTCTTCTCTGAGCACACAGTAATGCTGGCTTTGATTAATCACAGCCGAGAATTACTGTATACTAGCGGGGGGGGGGGGGGGGGGGGGGGGGGGGGGGGTCCCAGACAGAAGCAAGGCAGAGAGACTGGATGTGCTCAGGGCTGTTGTTAGATATCATGGGGCCCCATATAGCCTACCTCACAGGGCCCCCATTCCCAGCTTGGGGGCTGTCTTTAGAAATTATGGGGCCTGTGCATGGTGAATCAGTGTTTCGTTTATGTGGCTGCAGCCTCCTGGAGCTGTGTGCTGGTGCCTATGTTATGCTGTGGGGATGCAAAAGTTGTAAGGACACAGGTTCAAATTTGACGGATGTGTGGGTGTAGCTCTGCACACAAAAAGCGAGCATGTGGGGCCGCTCACCTGTACCTGTCAAGTTAGGACCTGTGGTTGTGTTTGTACAGCTGCTGTGTCCTCATGGAGTAACAGATGGCTCCAGCCACGTGAACAAACCACCCATTTATGTGGCCACAGTACCTGTGTGAATGACTCTTTAGGGCCTTTTCACGCAGACTTTTCCCACACATTCAGTAGGGGATCAGTGGGCAATTCTGCTGAATCACAGCTGAATGGGAATGGACGGATGTCAGTTTTTTTACATCCATACCCATTCAGTTTATGTCCATGTGTATGTTTACACAGTTGATAAAGGTAGACCTGTAATGGCTCTATGGGCAGCTGAATGTAAACAGACCTATGTTAACTTATTTAACTAGTTAAATCAGATTTAGAACAGTCCCCATAGGTTTGTTTGCATTTATACCATACAACGTTTATGGTGGCGAAAAGAGTGTTTATGTCCAGTGTGGAGGTGTTATTCCACTTTAGAAGGATTACTTTTCTGCCATAAGATAATATAAGTCTTATCAGTAGTTTAGAATGTGGTTTTGCATTATGTCTTTGTGCAGTATAGCAAAAATATATATATTACTGAAAGCAGATTATTGCTTAGGGTTACAGTCAGAAGAGAATGCATTTGTTGCCAGAAGATATCCAATATCTTGGGACAGTCCCAAAAACTGTGGAGAATCTCTGCTGGGGATGCAGAGCAGCGATAGCATAGAGTAGACTGGCTGATTCCCAGTTTGAATATTTTAAGGTGAGTGGCAAACCAAAGAGGAGTATGAGGAGAAATCAGATTTTAAATATGATATCCAAAGGTGAATTTTCACTTAGTGTAGTAAATGAAGTGAAGCTGTGTTCACTTTGAATACCCATTTATGTGCAAGGTAAATTTAAAACCAGAATTTTTACCTGCACATGATTGAACGATTGAAGTCAACACAGTGTTATACACAACTTCATTCACTAAGCTGGATAAAAAGCCCATTTAATGAAGTAACTTCAATCACTCAATCATTTGTGAGTAAAAAAATCTGTTTTTTTTCTTTTTTTTGTCTTGCACATGATTAGCTGTTCTTTGCTAAGTGGATTTTTCACTTAATAGCTGCACCTTATTCACTTTGCAAAGTGAGCATGTTCTACTTCTATAGTAAGTCAACCCATTATACCTTTATTTAAAATGTATGTATTTATTTATTTTTGTTATGCGGCATCAGGGACATAACTTACCTGTAAGGAAGTGTGTCCCATGTCAGGTTGGCTGCTGCATAGTATAGACTTCTCCATCAGCTCTGATTTTCCAGTGCTGTGGGGGTTGACATCAACTGCTGTGAGTGTGGAAGAGTTGCGCGGCTTGCCCACCCCTTCCACCGGCCTCCTCCATTAAAATTAATCAAAGTATTCTTTCCCAAAATGTATAGTGTTTTGTGATTGGAGGAGGCAGATTTTGTCATCTATTCACCCATCCTTCATTCATAGAACTTCACAGGCCTCTTAGAATTATTTACATTTCGCATTTACTGGCCCTTCAACCATCTGGTAAACTGGATTAGGGTAAAGCCTTGGCATTCCTTTCTTCTGTTTGCTCTAGTGCAGGGGTGGCTAACCTGTGGCTCTCCAGCTGTTGTGGAACTACATTTCCCATGAGGCATTGCAAAGATGGGAAGTTACTGACTTGCAGAGGCATGATGGAACTTGTAGTCCTGCAGCAGCTGGAGAGCCGCAGGTTGGCCACCCCTGCTCTAGTGCCTTGCCTCTTTTGTCAATAGGTGTTACAAAAGTCCTCGCTATTTCTTTTGGCTTAACGTATTTTTAAAAAAATCAACTTGGTGTAAAAAATATTGTTAGTGTGCTTGTTTTTATGTATAATATGTTCTTACATCCACTCCAATTTCAAAAAAGTTTAACATGCCCATTTTATACCCACACATATTGCTGACCAGTTGCCAATTAACCTAATTGGTTGCAATATATTCTCCCAGCTCTTCCTTGTTAGTACCACTTACTTTGCCAGATGTTTGTTGCCTTTTCCCAACTTTTTTGAGACATGTTACTGCCATCAATTTCAAACGTATTACTTATTTTTTTTTTCTTAAAATTGTACATTTTCTAATTTTAGACATTTGATATGTTTTCTATTTTCTATTTTCCATTGTTAAGAAAATATGGGTTTAGGAGAACTGCAAATCATTCCATTCTGTAGATTTTACACAGCCTCCAAACTTTTTGGAATTGGTGTAGTCATATTCACTCTTCACATACTTTGGCGTCTTGTGTTCTAGTGCTGCAGAATGGCTGCGTTTACTGCTCCTTCTCACATGTTATAACAATAAAACACCCAGATTATGGGCATAACAGATCACTTTATTACTGAGAATCATAAATGCAATAAATAGAGTAACAAAAAATGGAAAGTGGAGCTGTGTCATCCTAAGATACAAAATGCAATTTTTTTTTTTTTGCACATATAAAATCTAAATGACCCATGGTATACTACATAAATTATTTACATGTATGAGCATTCAATAGAGACACCCTTCTAGTGCTTCTGATATCAAGAGTTTTTCTGCCATGATGTTGACAGTCATATAGTGAGATATACATTACTTATGAACACGCTGGACATCAGGCTTAGTGTTTCTACCTTTGGACGTGATTAGGAAAGAAAATAGCTTTCCTTTCAAGGCATATGCTGATGCTCTATGAGAATGATCCCTGTATGGTCCGTTTAGCTTGACAAACATGCTACCACTCATTTGGCCATTTACCACTCAATGCATAGAGTGCAATGGATCAAGTGTTTTTTTTCTGCACATATTATTGACCATATTAAGCTGGTGGTCTATAAATGTATATGTGCTACCTTGAGAATAAAAGAATTAATACTAAGCCAGATATTCATTACTATTAAATCCTTTTATACATATATCGTACATAAATCTATATATGAAATGTTATGTAATTCTAAGGTTTCCCTTATAAAAAAAACACATAGAGGAGATTAATATCTTCCACAGGGCTGGGTGGTTAGGAATGAGTTGCATACATGCTTTAAAGAAGTCCAGGAGCTGGTGTATTTAGAATTTTTACAATGCCAAACTGATTGCTATACTTTAGTATGCTGAGTTCTAACTCAAAGTTTCAGCTGACAAAAAAAACAAATACAAGTCAGCAGCTACAAAAACTGTAGCTGCTGACTTTTAAAATACAGACACTTACCTGTTCCTCAGTCCAGCGGTGTCCTCACCACAGCTGGTTTCACCAGTCGTCTTCTCTCCCCTGTGTTGGCATCTTCAGTGTGGGCACCCGGCTGTGACAGCTTGCGGCTTCACAGCCCAGTGCTCACCGCGCATGCGCAAGAAGCGCTGCGCTTTGTGAATAGCCCGGTAGTCTTCTGGGACCTGTTACGTGTCCCAGAAGACTGCTGGGAGAGAGGGGGGAGAGCAACTTCCACTTCTGATCACCTAGGCGATCGCAGCAGAAGAGGGAGGGGGGGTACCTGTTAAATTCGGGCACTCGCTCCCCAAAGGTGCCAATCCTTAATGGAGAATAGGGGACAAAGGCTTAAAGCGGAACTTCCCCTTTTGGGTGGAGCCCAAAATTTGACAGGTACCCGCTCCCACTTCCGCTGCGATCGCCTAGAGGATCGGAAGCGGAAGTTGTCCCCCCCCCTCTCTCCCCATAGTCTTCTGGGACACATGACAGGTCCCAGAAGATTATGGGGCCATTCACAAAGTGTAGCGCTTCTCGCGCATGTGCAGTGGGCACTCAGCTGTGAAGCCGCAAGCTGTCACAGCCGGGTGCTCACACTGAAGATGCCGGCACCGGAGAGAGAAGACAGCCGATGAAACCAGTGGTGTCCTCTGGCCCGAGGGACAGGTAAGTGTCTGTATTTTAAAAGTCAGCAGCTACAGTTTTTGTAGCTGCAGACTTTTATTTTATTTTTTTTTTCAGCTGAAACTCCGCTTTAATGTGGTTTGTTGAGCCCTGGTGGTCTGTTGAATCTGGGGTTTTTGTTCTAGTATGATAGTTTATGTGGGGGGCTCCATACCAGCTCAGCAATATTTTATTTTTAGCAAGTGTGAGACTTAGAGATAGCATTTACCTTTACAACATGACTTCCTTCTTACATGCATAAAGGGTTAATTTTCTAAAGGGATAAAAATTTCACCCAATAAACTTGTATTCATCTGAAAAACCAAACATATGCAAATAATTGGGTGTAAAATAATAGGAATTTAATTTGTTCATTATTGGATGATTGATGTGAACACAGCTTCACTGGACAAAGTGAACATTTGCTTATTAAATCAACCCCTCTGGGTCTGCCAATCCACTAAAAACAATGTTCTCTCTGTTTAGCTGATATCTCAATATCTGTTAGTCAGGGAGTGATTGCAATAAAACACAGAGCACCCTGCAAATCCCAGGCTCTTCCAGTCCTTCTGGGAGCCCAAAACATTGTCAGGATAGTGAACTGCAATTAATGGAGGAATGTCCATTCTTGATCTGCTTTGTGATAGTTTTTTGTATTTGGGTTTAGATGTACATTGGGGTTGATTTGCTAAAACTGGAAAGTTCAAAATTTGTTGCAGCTCTGCATAGAAACCAATCAGTTTACAGTTTTTTTTTGTTTTTTTTGTCAAAGCTTAACTGAATAAGCTGAAGTTAGATGTTGATTGGCTACCATGCATACAGTTTCAAGAAAAAGTATGTGAACCCCTTGGGATTATGTGGAGTTTTGCATGAATTGGGCATAAAATGTGCTCTGAACATCATCTAAGTATGTTATACTGCAGGCACCTCCTCTTCCTATTTCTGGGAAATTTTCTGAGCAAGGAGCTGTGGAAGTGAAATCAATTAGAGCAAAGCTGGTGGTTACCATTGTATGCTTGCTTGAGAGGAGAAGACTAAGGGGCGGTTAACACCAGGATTGCATGGAAACAGTGCATATGTTCCCATGTGATTCCTGCTCAGCATGGTTTGACAGCCCATTCATTTGAATAAGCTGCAAATTGCACTAGAGCGCAGAAAAAGCAGTGTATGCACAACATTCGCCACACCAAGCCACATAGTATTGCAGCACCATGTGATTTGCACTGTGTTTGCAATCTGCATTTGGGGTGCCGTTAGCAACACATTGGCACCCGCATGCAGATTGCTAAGACAGTGGGGTCACCTGCTGGTGTGAATTGGCCTTGAGGTAGATAGAGAGGCATAGAGAGAGGCAAATTAAGTGAAGATGGGTCCATCCCATAACATCCCAATGTCTAACTAAGGGACATTTTCTCCTGATGATTAATTACTGTAGGTGCACCAGATTTTACACTCTCCAGTTTCAGTAAATCAACCCCAGTGTTTAATTATGTATTTCTTTATTTATTCATTTAACCAGAAACCTTGGGGAAATTGTGGGCTAATACTTCTCCATGTCTCTAACACACAGATTGCTATACTTTTACGGAGAAGTGGAAATTAGGCAGTCATTTATTTAATTTCCTGGTGCCGCTGTGCATGCAGCCAATCAGCTTCAAACTTCAGCATGTTCAATTAAGCCTTAACAATAAAACCTGGAAGCTGATTGGTTTCTATGCAGAGCTGCACCAAATGCTGTACACTCCTTTTTTAGTAAATATCCCACAAGATGTTTAAAGGACATGTGCATGAACTTTTTGAAACAATATACAGTATGATATAGTGCATCGTATTATATATTTATCTCAGATCAAAAGTATTCTGTATAACATATTTAATTGCCCGGTCCTGAGTAGGCAATGTTGGACTATGAAATGCGTTGAGGAACATAGGTGTTTACATGTATGACAACCTGTATACTAGGTGTGAACACTCACCAGCCACTTTATCAGGTACACCTTGCTAGTACCGGGTTGAACCCTCTTTTGCCTGCAGAACTGCCTTAATTTGTCATGGCATAGATTCAACACAGTGTTGGAAACATTCCTCAGAAATTTTGGTCCATATTAACATCATAGCATCATGCAGTTTCTGCAGATTTGTACATCCATGATGCAAATCTCTCATTCCACCACATCTCAAAGGTGCTCTATTGGATTGAGATCTGGTGACTGTGGAGGCCATTGGAGTACAGTGAACGCATTATCATGTTCAAGAAACCAGTTTGAGATGATTTGAGCTTTGTGACATGGTGCATTGTCCTGCTGGAAGTGGCTGTCAGAAGTTGGGTACACTGTAGTCATAAATGAATGGATATGGTCAGAAACAATACTTAGGTTGGCCATTGCATTTAAACAATGCTCAAATGGTACTAAGGGGCATAAAGTGTGCCAAGAAAATCTCCCCCACACCATTACCCCACCAGCCTGAACCATTGTTACAAGGCAGGATTGATCCACGCTTTCATGTTGTTTACGCCAAATTCTGCTGACCCTACCATCTGAATTTTGCAACTAAAATGGAGACTCATCAGATAAGGCAATGTTTTTCCAATCTTCTATTGTCCAATTTTGGTGAGCCTCTGCGAATTGTAGTGTCTGTTTTCTGTTCTTAGCTGACAGGAGTGGCACCCGGTGTGGTCTTCTGCTGCTGTAGCCCATCTGCTTCAAGGTTCGATGTGTTGTGTATTCAGAGATGGCATTCTGCATAAATTGGTTGTAACAAGTGGTTATTTGCGTTACTTTTGCCTTTCTATCATCTCGAACCAGTCTGCCCATTCTCCTCTGACCTCTACTATCAACAAGGCATTTTAGTCCAAACATCTGCCACTCACTGGATATTTTCTCTTTTTAAGACCATTCTCTGTAAACCGTAAAGATGGTTGTGCGTGAACATCTCAGTAGATTAACAGATTGTGAAATACTCAAACTAGCCCATCTGGCACCAACCATGCCATGTTCAAAGTCATTTAAATCCTCTTTCTTCCCCATTCTGATGCTTGGTTTGAACTTCAGCAAGTTGTCTTTACCATGTTTAGATGCCTAAATGCATTGAGTTGCAGTCATGTGATTGGCTGATTAGCAATTTGTGTTACCAAGCAATTGAGCAGGTGTACCTAATAAAGTGGCCGGTGAGTGTATAATACAGTGTATGTTATGTTTTTTTTTTATATTTGTAGACTTTATGTAAATGAGGATCACACCCTTTATATTTTATTACTTGATACAATAAAAAGAGATGTTTTCTAATGGAATTATGATTCTGTGATTGGAGTTGTTTTCCTTGTGAGTACACTTAAAGTTTTGTAGTCTTGGTAGGTGCAATTCTTTTTTTTTTTTTTTTAGATCACCATCCTATCCTTGTTAATAAACTGATGCCAGCTCCTGTCCTCTTCCTCCCTTAGAGGTTACTGGGTCAAGCTGAGCTTCCCCTCCAGAGAGGTTACTGGGCCAAGCTGAGCTTACATGCACCAGCTGAGTGCTCTTCTATTATCTGTGGCCAGCCATGTGTTCTGCTAATAGAATTAGTAGCTGTTAATGTTTGATTGTTGCAGGTTTACATAAGTAGGGGATGTGATATGCAATGCAGTGAAACAAATGGTCAGTCTGCCACCCCTTTAATTTTGCTTTCCAAACCCTGTGTGACTTAGAGTGTCAGCGGTCCGATCAGATCCACCTGAAAAATTGACAGGTGGACCTAGTCGGACTGTCAGTGTGAAAGGGGTCCAGAGAAGCCATTAGTGAAAAATTAGGCAAACGATTTGTAATTGTGTTTGGGAATTCTTGGCTATCAAATTGTATTTTTTTCAAGCCCAGGAACTGTTGCTGTTTGTTTCCATAACATCAGGCAAAACAAAATCATTGTATTATATTTTTTGATATCTTTTTTCCATTACTGGGTTAAGAGCTCAATAATACTCTCTAGTGATCTATAAATGCTTATATCTGACATTTACAATGTCACTTTAATATATTTGTAAGTGCTTTTATTTTTACCACGGGGAAGGTTTAATACATATTAGGACCAAAAACCTGTATGTTAATATTTTCTGAAGTATTATTTTTATTACACAATTGCACTATTGCCTATTTTGAAAGTCAAATCATGGCAAAAGGTGTACTTTTAGTATAGCGTGGAAATCTCCGTAGTTTGTAGATTCATGAGAGTAATTTTCTTTTTTACATAAACTCATTGGGCTTCATTTACTAAAGAAGTAGTGAATCTTCACTTTCTTTGGTAAATAAAGGTAAGCTGTTTTCACTTTGAATAGTCAATCATTTGCACAGGAATTTGAAAGAAACATAATTGAGCTTAATATATTTCTTACTATTTAAGCTTCATATGCTTTTTTCTGTAAGTAAAGAAACCATAAACTGTAATACTGGCTATAAACTTGGTAATTTGGGAAAGTACAGTATGCATAATTTTTTTTCCCCAGGAAAGCAGGAAACAATGAAAAGTATGGCTGACAAATTGCTGTTGCCTGTTCAATGCATTCATTTTCTCATTTGAAAACTAGTGGACAGCTTCCATAAGTATATGACCAGCTTGTGGTCTTGTGGAACTTAGTGCAAGTGGGAAGAAGTGTACAAATTTGGCTCAGTACACATTTTGTGTTATATTGCCCTGAGTGTTGCATACAGTGCTTGGGCTGCAGCAATGTCCAGTGACCCGTTGACTCTATGTAAGCTTTTAACTGGAGCAATCTGCCACCCACGGTTTCCATCGTGTCCGAGTTCCAAGTGACCAAATGATTGACTGGAGTGGAAATAAACTGAAAATGTCTTTGGACTGGTACCTCAGTGATTTTGATTGATTTCCACTTCAGTTTCATTTGACTGGTTGATTGAACCTGGGAAACAAATGAAAGTGGCAGATTGCTGCAGTGGAAAGCCAATGTAAAGCTCCAAAACTGCCAACAAAATTGCCAAGATTA